AATTAAGAAACTTCTTCATAGCAAAAGAACCAACAGAGTGAAGAGACAATCTACATAATGGGGAAAAAACTGTGCAAGCCATTGCTCAGAGAATTAATATCTAGAATATATCAGAACTAAAAAAAAACCAGACCCCCAAAATAAAAGACCCAATTAAAAAAATGGGCAAAAGGCACGAAACAGAAGAAAAGAATGTCTCCTCGACTATTTAGTGCTGTACCTTTCTGCTTTTTATCAAATAAATTAATTGGTACCCTGCTTGTTTCATATATACAAAGTTAAAATCGGGTTATTTTCAAGTGTTATCATGAACTAACGCATTTTATGATGTTATATATTTATTTCAACTGCAATTTTATATGGAAATTGTTTTTATCTGAGCCCACTCAGCTCCTGAGTCCTTTTGGCAGGATCCCAGCTAACTAATATTCAGTCTTCGATAGAGCTTCTGCTGAGTGAGACATTCCACACTCACTTTATACATTTCAAATCACAACACTGCCTTTTTCTTTCTCTCCTCTTTCTCCCCCTACTTCTTTCCCTTCTAAAAATTATTGTATTTTTTCCAGTTGGGCCTCGTGTGTACCAACCAAATTGCATCAATCATATTTCTTGATTATACTGTACTGTCATTGGTGATTCCAAGGTCCTCTTTTATTAGTTTATTCATTTATTTTTAGCAATATAATGGACTTCCATTTTCATTCTTCGTTGATAGAATGACTTGAAATTTTGAACAACAAAAATATTACTCAGATAGCTTGAAAAATATCCCACCCGACTTAAGAATTGCCTCATGAAAATGATCAACCTAGGCTGCCATGTGCCTAATTGAGTCACTGACCAATAAGCCTGTGAATCTGGATTGACGAGGAGATTTACATCTTCACTCACACGTGGCTTGTATTCCTACCATTTACATAGCTCAGTGTTAGTGCAGTCTTATTGACAAGGCCTCGAGAGCTAGAGCTTCATGATTAATCCCCAAAATACCAATGGGCATTTAATGATCAAGAGAGCAAAGTTGCTATCTGGCCATCAGTTTCTAGATGATTCGCTTCTTGGGGTAACCTGCTACCCAAGTCAGGAATGGAACAGGACGGGCACATGGGCTGTTTCTCTGTCACTGTGCTTGCCTCCCTGCTTTTTAAATACCGGCAACTTACCCAGGTATCCTTTAAATAAATAAAAAGTTTTCGTGCTGGATTCTTTGGTATTGGGAGTAGCCTATCAGATCAAAACTCCTAACGTGAGTTGCTAAATTTTGGCTTTTTTTAGAAACATTTTAGTTTTTAAGGTAATATACAGTAAAAATGTGTCATTCTTTGTGTTTAATTCTAATATACGGATAAATTCTTATGACTACCACATTTAAGATACAGAACTGTTCCATCACCTCCTAAATTTTTTCTTTTGAAATTTCTTCACAACTGCATCCCTGATACCGACTAACCTGCTCTCCATGCTACAGTCTTGTATTTTTAAGAATGTGATATAAATGAAATCATTATGTACGTAGCCATTTGATTCTGGCCTTCTTTCATTAACCATGATTTTTAAAATTGAGCATGTTTTTGAGATTTATTCAAGTTGTTTTATATATCAGTATTATTCCTATCACTGAGTAATAATAATCCATTGTATGGATGCCCCAGTGATCATTCATTCATCCCTGAAGAACATCTGTGTTGTTTCCAGTTTTTTCCACAGTTGCAAATAAAGCTGCTATAAAAATAAAAAAAAAAAAAATGGGCAAGTGAACACAGAGCAGTTTAGTCTGTCATTTGGAGAGTATTGCTTTTGCTTCTGGTGACTGCAGCTCTTCACTGAACACCAGCGTGGCTGTCGGAGAATTGGCCTAAGACTTCGGCACTGGGCAGAAGAAAATGGCATGAACCAAGCAGAATGCTCCTAAGTCCACTGATGGGGAAGCCATCCTCCCCCCACCCCCCACCCCCACTCCTGAAAACAGCTGGCCGCTAAAGCTGTCAAGAAAAGCACTCCCTCTACCGGCAGGGTGAAGAAAGCGCATCACTACAGGCCCGGTACTGTGGTGCTATGAGAGATTTGTCGTTACCAGAAATCCACCGAGCTTCTCATTTGGAAGCTGCCTTCCCAGAGGTTGGTGAGAGAGATTGCCCAGGATTTCAAAACTGACTTGAGGTTTCAGAGCGCAGCCGTTGGTGCCCCTCAGGAGGCTAGTGAAGCATTCCTGGTGGGCTTATTTGAAGGTACTCATCTGTGTGCCAATTTATGCTAGGAGAGTCACCATCGTGCCCAAAGCGTCCAGTTGGCCCGCGGGGTGCGGGGAGAGAGAGTTTATGTGAAGGCAATTTTATGGCATTTTGTAGTAAATTCTGTAAAATACTTTGGTTTAATTTGTGACTTTTTTGGGTAAGAAACTGTTTATAATATGTTGCATTTGTACTTAAGTCATTCCATCTTTCACTCAGGATGAATGTGAAAAGTGACTGTTCACAGACCTCAGTGACAGAAGCACTGTTGCCCAGGAGGGACAGTTGCTGATATGCAGAAGGGATGGGTGATGTTTCTTGCTTCTCATGATGCATGTTTCTGTATGTTAATGGCTTGTTGGGTAGCTATTAAGGTACTAGAATTGATAAATGTGTACCGGGTCCTTTCACAATAAAACTGGTTATGACTCGATCTAAGTATTTAACAAATGGGGCTAAGTCTCTCCATACAGCACTGTGATGGAATGTGGGCTCCTCCAAGGGTGAAGACACAAGTCTCAACCACAGTGTAACTGACAGTTTCCTTAAAAAAAAAAAAGTAAACCTGGCAGCTATAGAATACACTATGTGCATTTATAATAGCTATTTTATATATTGTAGTGTCAACATTTTATAATTAAATGTTTCACATTCACAAGTGATGGGGAGTCTTGTCATTAAGGTGTGAGTAACTTGAGTCCAGTTGGCTAACTGGACTGCACCTGTTTTCTATACAGTAGTGAAATGCTATGAGTATACCTTGCGTAAGTCCTCATTCTACACTTTAGCCAACACCTAGCTGATACTGCAAAGAGACTGGGGAATTTTGTTTAGAAGGGCTCTAGAATAACAAGCATCATCTGTTACTAAATTCTAGTCAGTACAGCTTCTCGCTGTGGTTGGTCTCATAATTAGTTTTTTCTGAGCTAAGAGGAAATAATACCAAGGCTCATTCTTTTCCTGGAGTTAGAGTGAGCATGCTGTGGGGGATGGAGCAGACTGCTCCAGCCCATTGGACCTCTGCCTTTTAAGATGGCGTTGGGTTAGGTCACATCTGGTTCCTGTTCTGCCCTTTTATAGAGCTGGCCTTCCGAGTGGTTTTTAAATTCATCCTACTGAAGTTTTTAGGTTGAATATGTATGTTGACTAAATTTACAAATAAAACTTGTTTACTCCCCCTCAAAAATGGGAAAGTGAAATGAACAGACACTTCTCAGATGCACAAATGGTCAATAAATACAGAAATGTTTGCCATCACTGGCCATTAGAGAAATCCAAATTAAAACAACACTGAAATCCCATCTTATCCCAGAAATAATAATAAATGTTGGTGAGGCTGTGGGGAAAAGGGAACCCTATACATTGCTGGGAATGTAAACTTGTGCAACTACTACAGAAATCAGTTTGGAGATTTCTATTTCAAAACTGAAATTCTGCTGGGCATAGTGACACACTCCTGTAATTACAGCACTCGGAGGCTGAGGCAGGAGGATCGCCACAAGTTTGAGCCCAGCCTGGGCTACACAGTGAGTTCAAGGCCAGCCTGGACTACAAAGCGAGACTGTCTCATAAAGACAAACAAGAAATGGAAACTCCATTTGACCCAGCTGTTGCCCTTCTAGGGATCTTCCCCAAAGAGCTTCAGCCATCACAGTGATGCATGCACACCCACGTTTATAGCAGCACAGTTCATAACAGCTGCATCTTGGAAGCAGCCTGTATGTTCATCAATAGACGAATGGATAAAGAAGATGCGGTGTTTATACACAATGGAGTACTATTCTACCATAAAGGATAAACGAGTCATTTGTAGAAAATAGATGCAACTTGAGACCACAATATTAAGTGAAATAAAATCACACAAGCTAAAATATCACATTGTTTCTCTTATATGAGGAACCCAAATTATAATAAAGAACAAAATAAAGAATAATAGGAAGCATGGAGATAGATTTCTCTCAAAAGGGGAAAAGGATTAAGAGATGAGGGGAAGGGAGAAGGAAGGGGAGGTGAGGGGCCGACAGGAGAATTAAGATGTGCTATGTACACATACCAACCCCCCATGAAGACGTGACCACTGTGAATGACAGACAAGCAGTAAAAAAAGAGAAAGAAAGAAACAACGCAAGAAAGCACCTCTCCTCCCTACCCCCATACCGGCTGCCCCTCTGGCCTGAATCCGGCCCTGATGCCACAGTGAGGACTGGGGCCCTCTGTGGTCTGGTACAGGGTGAAGTAGTCAAGTTCTCAAGAGAGCTGATCTGAGTGCACATTCTCAACCTTTCTGGCACCAGGGACCAGTATCACAGACAGGGGTGAGGGATATGTCAGCAGGATGATTTCAGCATTAGCTTCTTGTATGGAGCTGCCAACCTAGGTCCCTCACACACAGTTCACGGCAGGGTCCTTGCTCCTGAGGCTCTAGAGCCGCCCCCGCCCCTGCTCAGACGGGGATGGGCTCAGGCCTGGACGTGAGCTACGGCAGCTGTAATGCACACAAAGCGTAGCTCACTCAGCCGCCACTCAGCTGCTGCGCGGCACCCCTACTCCTAACAGACCCAGGCGCCAGTCCATGGCCCGGGGCTGGGAGAGCCCAGGTACAGAACACCACTGCCCCAGCCTGAGAACGCCAGAACAGCCAGGTGCCCGGGGTGTCTCTAACACTCAGCCACCGCCAGCGCGGAGGCCCCTCCTCCCTCCCCTCCGGAGCGCTGGTAGGTGAGAGAAACCGTCAGCCCGTGTAAAGAGTACAAACAGCTCTGTCACCTGGCCTGCAGCTTGCGCACCGTCTCTTCATCCAGCCGGGCCTGGCGCTCATCCTCGAGGGCCTCCTGCAGCTTGAGGTACATGTCCTCCAGCTCTCGCACCCGCTGCAGGTACTGCTCCAGTTCAGAGGACTTCTGCGCAACCTGCTCTTCCATCTGCTGTCTGATCTGAAGGGGTGAAACATGGTCATGGTCCCATGGGAGCAGGGAGTGCCCCGCTCTGTCCTGAGGGTCCCTGTCCCCTACTCCTGGAACTAAACATGGAGGAAACCAGAGCACACATGCAGACCAGCAGTGAAATAATCCAAAGAAATGAACTATGACCTATGTTGCTGCTCTGTTGGGTTTTCCATCCTTTCTACTCCAGTTTGATTCAAGCCAAGAAAAAAGTGTTCCCCTGCATAAATTCTCTATAAGTTACATTCTGTCTCAAAGCCACAACCTCTTTACCATTCATTATCTCTAAAAGGAATGAATGAGTCTTTGCCAGTGAGAGCAGCCCACCTTAACATGCAGGGGGGAAGGGCAGCTAGGCCTGCAGACTCCTGTACCTCTTTTCTCCCCTCCCGAGGGCGCCTCCATCCCTCGGGGAACTCAAGCAATTAAATCAGTCTCTTGACAAGTGCAGTTTGCCCCTGGATTGAAGAGCTTGGATTACTGCTTTATAAATCGAAAGTTAAAAAGCAAATGTGGCGGTATAAGCCTGTAATCCCGCATTCTGGAAGGCTGTGGCAGGAAGACTGCAAATTCAAGCTCAGCCTGGTCAACTTACTGATACCCAGTCTCAAAATAAAAACGGGCTAAGAATAAAGCTCGGTTGCAAAGACTCTGGGTTCAATCCTCAGTACCCCCAGTGAATAAATTCTAAATTTAATACACATGTCAGCATATATCTCAATCTGTAAAATATTTCTTCTAGCATTAGCTCACTTTGCCCTCACAAGAGTTATTATGAGAAAGCGGCTGATAAACCCTACACTTAAGGAGAAGAAACTGGCTTGGCAGGAAGGAGCAGAGAGGAAAGACCAGGTCTCCAGGCTGAGTACAGACCTGCTCCAAACACAGGGCTGCCTGCCTCTGCTGTCCTTCCGCTTACCCCGTGATCACAGCTCTCTGAACTGAGTGAGCAGCAGGACGAAAGCAGTGTCACCAGCACCCTCCCACACGGCACCACTCACGGAGACAGCCGGCCTCCACCGACCTGGACGTCGGGAGCACGGAGGACCAACCAGAGCCCCCAGGAGCAGCAGACCGGAGTCCAGGCCCCTCCCCTTGGTCCATTTCAGGGGAAAATGTCATGAAAACTATGTTTACTTTCTCGTTACTACAGAACTCTTTTGAGAATGAGAAAGGATGTTATTAATAGTTATGCCAGGATGACAGCACTGCTCCAGGCAAATCAGGACATAAAGTCACCTAACCAAGCATTTATTACCCCTTTCCATAAATGCCTGTTCGGGATCTCAAACAGCAGGTTGGTATCTTTCATCTTTACATCTTTGGCACAGAAGGTGCATAATAAAGGGAGAATGAATGAATGAATGAAAGAACGACTTCGCCAGCAGTCACTGCCAGTCAGCAGCAGAGCCCTGCGATAAGACCCTGGCTGCTCCCAGCCTGCCCGCCACTCGGTCCTCACCAGCTTCTCGCGCTCCAGCTCCGAGCTGAACCTGGCCTGCAGCTCCACTTGTGTCTGCAGGCGTTTCTTCTCCTCTTCCGCTGCACGGGACGCTGCTTCCTCCAGTTTCTGCACGATCAAAAGCCCATCCCCAGAAAAGTGAGATCGTTACAGTGACTACATTAGAGAGAAACATGACACACTCAAGCAATGAGAGAAACCAATGACCCACAAAACTCAGTAAAACTAGAATAAAAACTCAGACCCACTGGAATTCCATCCCAATGACGACCCAACCAACAAAGTTTTAGTGTAGTCCTTGGGTGATACTCATTTGCAACTCTCTTCATGTGGGTTCAGGTCTATTTCTTGAGGTCTTTCTGTATAGTTTTGTCACCTTACACATTACTCCTTAAAACGTTTACCAGAGCCGGGCGTGGTGGTGCACGCCTATAATCCCAGCACTTGGGAGGCTGAGTTAGGAGGATCACTATGAGTTCAAAACCAGCCTGGATTACATAGTAAGATCCAGGTCAGTCTCACAAAACCAAAAAAAAAACTTTTACCAAAATGCCCAGAACTCTTTTCCCAGGGGAACAACCAAAACTAGTAAAAATTAATTTTTTATTATTTATTTATTTATTTTTGGTGCCAGAGATCAAACTTGGATCCTTGCACTTGCAAGGCAGGTGGTGGCAGAACCACTGAGCTAAATCCCAGCACTTTTTTTTTGGTAAACATTTTTAAAAAACCATTTAAATTGCTGAAAATTACTAGGCATGGTGGTCCACACCTGTAATCCAGAACCTGGGGCAGGAGGATTGCTTGCAATTTCAAGGCCAGCCTGGGCTACACAATGAGTTCAAGGCCAAGCTGAACTACATAGCGAGACCCTGTCTCCAAAAAAAAAAAAAAAAGGGTCCAGGGATTTGGCTCAGTGGTTCAGCCACCTGCCTCATAAGTGCAAGGGTCCAAGTTCGATCCCCAGTACCAAAACAAACAAACAACAAGTTTCTGAAATTATCCTAAGGACATACAGCAATGGAGAACGTTTATCTAAGAAAATCTACTAGGGGTGGGGGGTGTCCCTTATTGGTAGAGCACTTGCCTGGCATGCACAAGACCCAGGGTTCAATCCCCGGTTCTACCCAAGAAAGGGAAAAAGGAAGAAAGCGGGGTGGGAGTGGTATTAAATCTCAGTAAGAACAGAGTACTCTCTCCTCCTTGCTCACAACATCTATGAGAAGGAAGCTTCCCTCCAGGTAGATGAAACCAAGAACAAGGGCTTCCTCTTCCCCCAGCTCACTCCCAGGGCTACACTAACTCTCCAGGCGGGGCAGCTGCCAATACTTCTCACCTCCCAGCTCCACACTACAGAAACTCTTTTCCAGGCCAGGGTGGCTGAGAGTTCTGGGACTCTCATCCTCCGCCAGCCCCCACTCACAGGTGGGCAGGCCAGACAGACTGGGCCGGAACAGCCTTGTCTCAACTGGTTTTGTGGGAAAGAAGCTCACATAGGGAGAGGGGATGGGGTATAGCTCAGTGGCAGAGCACTTGCCTAGGTCTTGGGTTCAATCCCAGCCCTGCAGGGTGTGGGGGGCACTGGCGGTTAGGAATTAAGGGCATTGTTAGAAACAATGCAGATCGGAGTCATAAGGAACTAAGAGAAGTCTGATAGCTCCACAGGAACAATAAACTAAACCAGAGAGCAGCCAGAATTCTGACAGAGAGGAACAGAGGAGAAAGCTAGTTAAGTAGAGCCCTCGTGTGGCAGGAACAAGTCTTACAGACTGTCCTTGCTGATATATGGGCCTAAATTTAAATGCTATCAGACTCCATGAGGCAATTTAGGGCTCAGGTTATTGTGGCGGACACAAAGCAATCACTCAGGGTCAGGAATTTAGCTCAGTGGTTCTGCCGCACCAGGTCTTGAGTTCAATCCCCAGTACCAAAAAAAGAAAAAGAAAAAAAAAAGCAAAGCAATCACTCAGAAATTGCTGAAGTCTAGCAGCTGGGCAAGATGCCTACAGAGGTGGACAGCTTAACAGAGAGAAAGAAGCATTCAAAGGGAACTCCACTAAAATCAGGGTTACCCCAGGGTGACGATGTGGCCCAAGGCTGTGTCTCTGAGAAGCACAATCAGAGGTTTGACACTGTCAGTGAACAGGCCCAGAAATAGTACAGCCCAATCACTAAACAAATAAGCAAACAACAATAAGCCTTTGGGAGATAGATCAGTATGGAGAGTTGCTACAAAGCGTTTTCTAAAATACCCAGTTTGCTGTAAAAATTATGAGACAAAAAATACACACACACAGGAAAGTATAACCTGTACTATGCATTGGGAGGAGGGCAACAGAAACTGTCTTTGAAGAGGCCCCTATTGTAAACTGACCAGATGTCAAAGTAGTTAGTCAAATGTTCAAAGAACTAAAGGAAGTCATACTTAAAGAAATAACGAAAAGTCTCATAATATCCCAGCAAACAGAGAACATCAAGAAAGACACAGAAATTAAACAAACAAATAGAGATTCTGGAGTTGAAAAGTACAATAACTGAAACAAAAATTACTAAAGACTTAACAGTGTATTTGGGCTCCAAGGAGACTACTGAAAGAGCCACAGAAATGACACAACCAGAGGAAGACAAAAAGAATAAAGCAAAATGAACAGGGCCTCACAGGAATGTGGGACACCATTATGCACATCAATGTGTGCATAATGGAAGGATTAGAAGGAGAGGAAAGAGAAGAACAGAAAAAAATTTTGAAGAAATTACCAAAAGTTTCTCCAATTTAATGGGCAACATTACCTACACATCTAAGAAGTTCAGTGGACTCTAAATAGGATAAACACAAAGATTCATACTCAAAATATACTAAGAGTTTTCAAAGATAAAGACAAGATTTCTTGAAAGCAGCAAAAGAAAAATGACTTACTAGGGAACTCCAGTAAACTTGGCAGCTGATTTCTCATGAGAAACAGGTAACTAGTTCTGGCCAAAATATTGTAAATAAAGAGAAGTGTGCCATCACTGGGCTGGAACACCTAACTGGCAAGTCCTAGGACACTTTTTCGTCTGGTCAAGTCAATAGCATTCACAATGTTGGCTATTCCATCAGCCTGGATTTCATATTCACAGATGTATAAACTCTCGGGCCTAGTAATTCCACTTCTGACACTTTATTCTGCAGGTTACCAGAACCCATATGTACATGGATAAAATGTCACATGTCCAAGATGATTTGCTGTAACACTGTTTCTTTCTTTTTCTTTTTTCTTTTTTTTTTTTTTTTTTTTTTTTTTT